TTTTGAAGGTTATTTAGCCATGGCGGCGCACAGCAGCGGTAAGTAAAATATTACTCTTTTACAATAACAATTATCTAAAATTAGTTGCATTTATGGAATCACGTAAAATAAATGATAAATGCATGACTATTGATATTTTGTTCCTGAAATTTTAGTTTTTCTGTTCCGCTGCTTATGCAGAATATTATGTATCTCATAGTACACATTGCCCGACTGAGAATACATTTCCACTTTTTTTTAGGAAATTTCTACACGAACTTTTTACGGGAGGAAAGCATCTTCGTTAGTTGTATTATTACCTCCTCTTGACCCCACAGTATCAGATATTGGCGAATCTTCCAGTGACGAAGAAATTATTGACGAGGACGTGGTTGAAAGTGCGTCCAATGCTGAAGACGCAAGAGTTTTACCTGTAGAAGACTGGGTGGATAGTGATTCCAGTTGGGATTCAGAAGATGACAAACCTCTAAGAGCGAGCGTACCAAATGTAACAAAAAGTTCACCAAATTATCAATGGAATAAGACGGACTTCCTTCATAATAAACAACCTACCGAAATTTATTTTGAACGACCAGATAAACTCCGCACACCCTTGGAATACTTTTCCCAGTTTTTTGACGATACCCTTTATGAACTCATTGTAAACCAAACGAACTTTCATTCCACACTAGTAACTGGCTCTTCCATAAACACGACAGTGGCGGACATAAAGGGTTTTATGGCAATTCACTTGCTTATGGGAGTGGTTCGAATGACTTCTTTCGAAGATTATTGGGCCATATCTACTAGATACGAACAAATAGCCAATGTTATGCCCGTAAAAACGTTTAAAAGGTTACGGCGCCTGCTGCACTTCCAGGACAATAATTTAGATGATGCTAATGGTGACAGAATCTTCAAAATCCGTCCAGTTTTTGAGTACATCCGTCAAAAATGTTTGAATATACCTCATGAAAATATGTTTTCTATTGATGAAATGATGATTGAATNATTTGTTAGTTACTTATTGTTTTTCGTAATGTACATGTTAAAGAGAAAAATGCAATTTTCCTTTTTTATAAAAGAACGCATTGTTTCTTTTGTTCGTTGGGGGGTGGCGATGATCGGTGACTGAAATATTTAAAAATAATGAAAATTATTGGGTTCACTTTGTTGATTAATTTTGTCTAACGCGTTTTGGTTTTTGTCTAAATTTCAGTGAGCGGGAAGGTGAATGGGTGTAGGAAAGAAACATTGGGCGGAACTGGGAATCGATAGCCTACCTGGGATGAGTTAGGTGACACTCGCGCTGAAACAGCGAAGGTATGAATTATCAGAAAGGAAGGAGTTCAAAGTAGAAGGGTCTTCTGAAACGGTCGTTAGGTTTAGGGGCGAAGTCGGCAAGTGTCGAGATGGACGGGATTGGGTACCCTGACAATGAGGCCCGGAGATTAGCCGCGAACTAAACTGCAGCCTCAGGGAGTGAAGGTAGGCCAGTTTCTTTCACAATTTGGATCTTTCCGACGAACCAGGGATAGTTGAGTGAGGAACGAAGAATCCGCATGTAAATGCCTTGAAGAATTTGTAGGCAGTGGGAATCGGCACTGCCCCAAATGGGGATGGCGTAAGAGCAAATGCTTCTGAAGATTGCGTTGAACGCATGGAGACAAATGAGAAACTAGTGCAGAGGCGTACAAGAGATACTGTGGGGTTAGAGAACCTATAAAGACCTTCAAGAAGGAGAGGAATAGCTATTTACATCAGCAACGTCTTCAGCAGTCCCTACCATGTTACATTAATTGGTTAACTGAGTTTATTAAAACGCAATTATTTGGCTTAAGGCCATGTACATTACACAGCTGACGTGGTACAATCACGCAGAAATGAACACCCTAAAAGAACGTGCATAAAATAATTTCTATAAGTTACATATACAATTCTCACAAATTATAATTGTCTCCTTCAAATGAAAGGAATATCTTACATCAAAGTAAAAATATTCATCAGGATGAATATTTACATATTCATACACCTCGTAATNGCTATTCGATTCAAATTAAACAAAATCTATCCCTTAATAAATGAAAATACTTTGTGAAGAATTTTCTCAAGTTTTTCTATTGAAAAATGGAAGTGTGTGCAACAAAGTTATTGAGCAAGACAATGCATACACATTAGAAGATCCAGCGGTTGAAAGAGTCACTTGGTTATTGAAGTAGGAGTCGACGATGAATGTTCTGACGCAAACGATGAAGGCTTTGAAGATGAAGAATAGGGAAATACACTGAATATTTAGCGCTTGCTAAACATTATCTTCTAGTATTGTACACTTCTAGCCGATCTCCTAAGACCGCCCATCGAGAGTTCTGCTCGTTCAAGCTTATTCGATTATTTCTGTTTCTTTGGAATAACTGGACATGTGACAACCGTGCTCTTAGAGCAAAGTAGAACGATGAATTCTGAATGGTACACAACCTTTTGTTTGCCAGAGGTGCTTGGTGATATATGAAAAAAGAAGCGGCAACGAAGGATCATTCTTCATCATGACATTGCAAGCTCCCACACATCGGCTTAAACAACCTACTTGGATGGCCAAAAGTCAAATTGATGGGTCATCCACCGCGCAGTCCTGATTTGGGACCAAATGGATTCTTTCCGTTCCCACATATCAAAAATTAATTGCGTGGCCAACGTTTTTCGGCGCCAAAATAAAAATTACAACATAATTTGTATGTGTCAGCTGATTGTATCTAACGATATCTTTAGGATAATAGGCCATAAGTTTCCTGAGGTGTGCCACTCCACAGATTTTGAGAGAATAGAAAAGGTCCTTCGACGCAGGTATCGAAAAAAATATTTACTCCACCGCAATATTACCACCTTATTAAAAGTACCTGCAAGGTAAATGCTCAAGTAAAAGACATGCACCAGAGACTTACCTCAAAGAAGTAGAAACCTTATCAAGTCAACTAGGTCTAATGTCGAAGAAAAATGAATTAAATGAAACAGTGGCATTTAGGTCACTTAAATGGGTATGCATTGAAGAATTCGGTTTGTATTTGTACAAAGAAACGTATGACAACCTTTCAAAAAGGTACGTCTCTTGAAAAATACCAAATCGTGAAAGAATCCCAACTGTGAGCTGAAACGAGTGAACACAGAGAAGATGGTGAAAAACATCAGAAAAAGAAAAAAAACAACTTTCGTATTCAGCTACCATATATTGACGAAAAATATGGTTGGTTTTATAAAGATAAAGAGGATCAAATTAAAGCACTTTTCTTTCACTCTATTGTACATTTATTATAACATGTGTTGCATGGAAGGACATTTTTTTCAGCAAAAACTAGGAACCATAAGAACATTATTTCGTATCTATCAAGACAGAGGTATTCAGAAACATACAAAAAAATCTCAGGTTTCACTGACGAGAAATTCACAGATAATCAAAGTAAAATTTACTTTGTGATACATTTAATATTTCTAACATAACGAATTCATCCAATTGCCTCTTCAATAACTAAAAGAGAATTCTTCAAATGCCCATTAGTCCACTACATAATACACCAAAAAGCATTTTGCGGAAAAATTTAGCGCAAAATCAATGCAACAAAAGTTTTTATTACATAAAATAGTAAATCTAGTTAGAGTACAAAACAAAAAGCTTTGACTCGTGGTAAATTTCACGATTTTTCAAATGAAATTGATGCAACCTATAGAAATTTTCTATTAGACTCAGAAATTACATTATTAAGTGCTGGTCAGTGCTTGCAGCTATTATTGTTTTACGGAAATTCCCGTATTCAAAAATTAACTAAAATCTGACAACTTATGTGCTAACTAAAATGCAAGATTCTGCATTTTTTGCTGAGCTTGCATTTTTAACCGGTATGACACAAGCTCCAACTCATATGGACATGTAAATGGGTTGAAAAGTGAACTGAAATTGTTCAAAACGTCGCGTCACTAGAAAAGAACTATTGTTTTTTTTTTTTTTCGAATTGCAAAGAGAAATGGAAAATTTCGAAAGATGCAACTTTTGTGACCAATTGAAGTACACTGATGAGGTAATTTTTAAATTTAAAGAGCATTTCGCAGATTTTAGGGAATGAGAAATAGAAAGGGTAAAGACTGATTTTATCAAGTGGAATTATGATACCTAAAATCATACCACTTTTACAAGGGCAGAACAGAAACTGGAATAGATTTTTTAAGCTTAAAAGTGGTTTAGATGAAGAGCAGTAGTTACCTTTACGAANAATATTTATCGAATATTTCTGGGGGAAGGGTGGCAAGATATATATATAAACATATTTGTTGGGCGCTGAAATAACCTAATTAGGTCGTATTCAAGCTTAGCGATGGTGCTAACCAAAATTTTTAACGAATATTTCTGGGGGAAGGGTGGCAAGATATAAATATATATACACATATTTGATGGGCGCTGAAATAACCTAATTAGGTCGTATGCATGCTTAGCGATGGTGCTAACCAAAATTTTATCGAATATTTCTAGGGGAAGGGTGGCAAGATATATATATATACAGATATTTGTTGACTGCTGAAATAACCTAATTAGGTCGTATGCTTAGCTAACCTACTTAGGTCGTATTCATATATATAGGCTTTTTCTTGAGCAACAACATACCATTCACAGCAGATTTATTAATAATTGCAAAAGTATGATTTTACAAAATCACTAAAATAAAGCAAGTATATAATAAATATTATAGGTTTCACTTTATAGATGTGGTGGAATGTTCTTCCAAAAATAAATTAGCTGTACTACGACAGTTATTTACAACATAAAATGACATCCAAAAAGCATCACAAGAAACTTCTTAGAAATAACATTATGTATGTGAACCTTTGTCTTAGGTTAAGATTAGTTTTAACCTTATGACTGATAATCAATTATCAAAAAACAGGAAATATTGGCAAAAGATGCAGAACCAATTTAATTGAAGCAAGTCATTACACCACCTTTTGTGGAAAACATTAATAGAAATGTTTCAGCGGTGTATGTATATGTACTTTTGTCTTAGGTTAAGATTAGTTTTAACCTTATGACTGATAATCAATTATCACAAAACAGGAAATATTGGCAAAAGATGCAGAACCAATTTGATTGAAGCAAGTCATTACACCACCTTTTGAGGAAAACATTAATAGAAATGTTTCAGCGGTGGATATTTATGTCGATCCTTTTTGGTTAATATTAGTTTTAACCTCAGGACCACCAACCACTATCAAATCTCAACGGTAGCTAAATCAGTGTAACTACCATCCTTAACACCAAATGATTACTAGCTACCAAACAAGAAACAACCCTTGTTTTGAGAATCATTCATCACAATAGAAAACATGACTCTTTATTAAATAAAGCCAGATAGAAAACTGAAGATGTTCTGAAATCATATTTACTTTTTATGCTACTTACTGCAGTTCATTGCTTTGGTATTTGTCACATCTTGAACTTGTCAAGATAAATTCCTTCATACTTAACAGCACAATGTGCTGCTAGATAATAAACAAATTTTGTCTAGTATTGCTGCTATCTGAAAAAAATAAATGTCATTAACCTTGCTTTCAACCCAATACTTTAAATTTCACCATCAGTCTGGAATTTCTATATTCCTTGATTACAAATACACGCCCACATTACTTAATAAAAATTTAAGGGCTACTATTAGGTAATCTCCTATTGTCTCCAGAAATTTTGTAATCGCATTAGTGATTATAAACTGCTGTAATTGTCTATTAACACTAAATTTATTTTCCTACTTATTTCACAAAACTTTTACAAACAAAAAGGCTACTTGGTACGAACTGCACCTGATAGAAACACTGCAAAAACATTGATCTTCAAGTTGCAGCCCATTCAGCCAATAAATGTATAGGCCATAGATAATAGATATACAAAGGGTAATAGATGTTCAACTCGACTGATTTGCGCGCCCCCCAACAGGTTTAGTCAAAACTAAATAAAAAAGTCGCGCACTTTAAATGTGTTAGTTACTTATTGTTTTTCGTAATGTACATGTTAAAGAGAAAAATGCAATTTTCCTTTTTTATAAAAGAACGCATTGTTTCTTTTGTTCGTTGGGGGGTGGCGATGATCGGTGACTGAAATATTTAAAAATAATGAAAATTATTGGGTTCACTTTGTTGACTAATTTTGTCTTACGCGTTTCAGTGGTAAAGGGTTGAGAGCGGGAAGGGGAATGGATGTAGGAAAGAAACATTGGGCGGAACTGGGAATTGATGGCCCACCTGGGATGAGTTAGGTGGACACCCGCGCTGAAAAAGCGAAACTATGAATTATCAGAAAGGAAGGAGCTCAATGTAGAAGGGTCTNACAACTTCTTTCATTTGCAATTCCCTCCACGAAATTTCTTATTATATCTACTTCGGGAATATTTTTATTTACTATAACAAAATTTCATACATATTTATCTTCAGTGTAGATACATTCTTCATTAATTTGGAGGGTTTACATCAATACTAGTTGTGTACTGCGGGGTTTCTCCATTCTCAATTCACTCTGCTTTCAAAGGTGCATACAATCCTGTGATTGTAACGAATTCAATTTTATACATGATTTGTATATTTCATATTTTCAAAAACCTTAATTATACGCATAGTGGCAATCGAAAGCCGCTGCATACGTAGAAATTGAAAGAAACACGCTGTTTTTGATAACTGTTCTTTGCATTACTTCACGTATTATGTCCATGTAATTGCACATGATAATAAAATTATAAATTGTACAATTACATAGTATGGACGTGCTTATTTAATACCATACTTAAAGCAACTTAAAAGTGCCATCATGTGGAAATTTAAACGTAATGCAGAAATTGTTATATTAACGTAGAGGTTCTTGAACGCTATTTTCTGTTTTTACTTTCACTACCTGTTATCCCAAACGTTTTGCCATTCTTCCACAGTTTTCTTTGGTACTCATCAGTAATGATGCTCTGTACAACGTTAATTTCCGATAAATATTTCTATTCAATAGCACAACAATGATACGATACCATTTCACACTTTGGAATTTTTAGATATGTTTGTGTTGTGGCGATTTAATACGTTTTAC